AAGAAACTAAATTGAATTAAGTTCTTGTTTGGTCGAGATTACAATCAGATTTTTAGTAGATTTTAATAGTTGATGAAATGTGTGGTTGAAAAATTTAGTCCTTTGAAATGTGTGGTTAAATTAATTGTTGATTTTAATTTAGATTAAAATCTGGATTTTAATTTTCACCAAATATGGGCTAAGCAAAAAGTGAAAATATAAAAATAAATAGTATTAATCTTATTTTCAATTCCCATTTTGAAATTCAAAGTGGAAGGAAAAGGGAAATGAGGAACTGAGTGTTGGTTCCTACTGAAACTAGGAATCGAATTCTGTTTGGGCATCCAAGAAAGAAAACTGAATTAGTCCACTCTGTTTTAGAAATTCACAAAACAACTATATTTTTAATCATAAATTATTTAGTACATATTTTGTTCGTATGTTTCAATGTAGAAGGCCAAAATTTAATGGTTTGACTGGCCGGACATTGTATATATTGAGAAGTCAAAATAAGTAAAAATTTGAAAATTTTCAGTCTTTATGTTCTTATTTTCGTGAATGGCAAATGATGAAGAATATCAATTCATATTTAAAGTATAAAGTCATGCCAGTCAATGTTATGCAATGACGATCAATAAGGCACAAGGATAACGAATGCTTTATTTAGATAGATATCTTTCATCGCACTTTTTTTCTCATGAACTATTATACATTTCACTTACAAGAGAAATTTCAACGGCAATGATTAACGTTTAAGTCGAATAATATTCCTTATCTCAGAAAAAATGTATCCTCTGTTTGGAATTCAATTTTTTAACTAATTCAAACTTTAGGTTTAACCACAAATTTTATAGGATGGGCAAGTATTATCAACTTAGGCCCTATTTGATATGATGGATTTTCCACCAAAATGACATGTTTGATAACAATTTTTTTCATGAAATTTGTCTTCCACAAACCCCCCACGTGATCCCTTTTCCATGGTTTTAAGGAATTGGAATTCTTTGGGTTTTGGTGGAAAAATGGTTTTCTAGTGTATTTTTTTTTTTAATAATTACAACAATGGGAACAAATTCTATCAACAATTGTTAAAATTTCTATCATTTTAGTTGACAATTTTCATAAAAAATAAAGCCAAAATGAACACCAAAAGATCCAAAATTTCAACATTTTTCAAGTGGAAAATTATACCAATCAAACACATTTAATTGACAATTCCCATCAAAATAATTTTAAGGCAATTCAATTCCTTGGAATTCGTTTTCTTTCCATCCAAATTTCATTCTTGCAATCAAACGGACCCTTATATATATCAATCATTTCTTGAAAAGCAACCCTTTAATAAAAAATAAAAAATAAATAAAGAACCGAGCCAAGGCCATATACATGATGTTTTGATCATATAATAAAAAATTCATTGACATAAACATTTTATATAAACAACATCACCATCAATTAGTAATAACCTAACATCTAAATATAACACATTTATGGCATCTAACAAATACGTACAATGCAAAATTTCTATGAAATTAAGAAAAATCTCAGAATGATGAGAAATGCATGAAATGCGCGCTTACGACAGCTAGTAGATATAAATGAGTGCTACTATCGAATTTCTGTAACCAAATTTAATGATTGCAGTAATGTTCCTTTGTTATAACTATTTATTGGTGCTAAATTACTTCAGATTGTCGCTACTTTTCTTTCTTTTTCTGTAAAATGATGAAACTGCAATTTGCTCGAGGATAAATTAAAGAAAAAGAAAGGATTGGAACTAGAAATTTTCTTAATACATACTCTTCCATTAAGACATGAAGATCGATTGATACAACGATTAAATAAACAACATTTCCCCTCAAACAACGTTACTCGACTGCCACAGTCAAGGCTATCCTTATTTATGACGCCATTATTTCCAGTAGTCTAGCGTCCGTCATATGCTGCATGTAACACAGTCAAAACAAGAAAAAAATAGCGTATTATTGGGGTAGTAGAAATATAAATTCATTTTCGTGCATGTGTCATCTGTGAAAACAAAACTTATAAGTTCCGTGAAGGGATCTGGTCGAAAATTTCATCAGTTTGGAAAGAATTATACCGGTCACAGTCAACATTGGGGTTGATTGTTACTTTAATGTTGACTTTACAGAGGTCGGGGAGTTTCTGGGCTTTTTCCAAGTTGACGGGAAAAGATTTTGCAGTCTCCTTAAAACATTCGCAAATGGCCTTACGATCCGGCTGCGACGCCATGGCTATCTTGTCCAGATCCTGTACAGCGGTGCAGCATGCAACGCTTGGTGTTATATCGCCACTCAGCAAATATGTTTCACATGGAACCACTTTTGACACCGCGTCGTTGCACTGAATCACCCCATTGGCACGGTGGCTAGCCACCACAGCCAAGAACACCACCGCTACAAACCACTGTATCGTTGGTTTCATCACTAATGAGTGAATACTGAATAACAAAGAGAAAAATGGAGAAGAAGCTAAGTATGTGTTGAAATGTGCAGGTTTTGAACCCTATTTATAGTGGAAAATGAGGTGAGAATAATTAATAGGGGGTCGGTTAGCCGAGGCACCTGGTTTTGAAAAATGCATGTTGGGACAAAATGGTTCTTATCTCTAACCAGAATTTAGGGAAAATTTTGTTAGATATTTATACCATGGTAATAATAAAAATTGTTTGTTGTTACCAGAAAAAAAATAGATATTAATGTATGTAGTATTTAATAAGCGGTTGCACGCTTTTTTAGTTTGTAGTTGGTCTATACATGGTTTTAAATACATAATGAGATCCTTTAGTACACCTCATTAAACGAGGCCATAGAATTAAAAGGAAAACAATGAAATATGATATAAATATAATATAATAAAGGGAATAAAATAAAAGTAAATATAATGTATTATTTTAGTACGACGTTTAGGATTACACTGGTACAAAAAAACGTACAGCTATGGAAAAATAATATATGTGTGTGTGTGTGTGTGTACCAGTGTATTGATAAACAATTACAATCAAATATTAATGTAAATACAATTAAAAAACCCTCTCGAGTTTCGCAGTGTATACGCTTAAGTTAGAACAAAAGGAAAAATGGTTACTTAAGAGGAAGATATTTGAGCTACAATCCCAAATTGAGGGGGGTATTTGTAGATTTCCCTCCAAGAGTTATGGTAGTTTGGTAACTTTTGCTTTGTGTCAAGTGAC